CCAGCAAGCCTTGAAACGTTAAATGGGAATGGTTTAAAATTCCCAGCAAGCCTTGAAACGTTAAATGGGAATGGTTTAAAATTCCCAGCAAGCCTTGAAACGTTAAATGGGAATGGTTTAAAATTCCCAGCAAACCTTGATAGATTAAATGGGATGCTGATGGACTTTCCAGCTGGGAGGTGGCTGCACTCCCTCCCCTTCAGGAAAGGCAGACATTGTTCCACAGAGTCCCTGAGGCTGGAAAAGCCCCCCAGGACCCTCCAAGCCCAACCTGTGAGCGATTCCCACCTCGTCCCCCAGCCCCGAGCTCCCAGTGCCCCATCCAGGGGAACCTCCCCCGTGCTGCATCAAGCAGATTGACTTCACAAACTGAATTAAACCCCATCCCTGAGGTCTCCCTGACCTGCTCCGGCGTCGCAGTCCTCCGAGGAGACGCTGTTCTCCGAGACCCTCCTGCCCAGCGCCGTCCTCCTGGGCTCCCTGGGCACCTGCTGGGGACAGAGCCACCCCCTGAGCTGCCTGGCCACCCAGGGGCTGCTGGGGGTAATCCCTTAAGAGGCCCAGGTGTCACTAGCAAAGCTGCTTTGCCGGAATAAACAAGTCTGGCAGGTGACATCTTCTTTAAAAGTTTGATCACAGAACCGCCTGACCCTCCGTCACCCGGGGAGCACCTGCCCTGGGGAGGTCACCTGGTGCCCTCTGACAGTTCTCCTGGCTGGAAAAGGGGCACCAGGACCAGGTTTTCGGGCGGTTCCCACTGCACACACCAACTCTGGTGTGGATTTTTGCCGCTCACACCATTTCTGCTGAGGTCTAAAATCAGGTGGAGGGTGAAAGGAGAAGCCACCCAAAAATTTTCAGCCACAGGAAAAAGGGAACTGGTAGTACTGTAATAAAAGTTATCTCGAGTTACCTGCTTGGATTTGGACAGTTCATGCATTTGGTACCAAATAATTCCCTAATTAGGTCTGATAAAGCTGAGGCTTAAGCAGGAGAGCAGGAGAGATAAATATTCCCAGCTCTGCAGGATAATCACTCCCTGCCAGGCTGCAGAGCTGCACAGGGTGTCCCTCAGCACCACACGGATGCTCTGGCTGCCCCAATCAGATTTCACACTTATTTGTTGACACCAACTCCCCAAAATCCAGATCCCAACAAAAGAAACCGGGAAAAGAAGTTTCCACAGCTCTGGCAAAACCTCCCGAGCACAGAGTCCAGTCGGCCCCCACCAAGGTGGGGTTGTTTTCACAGCTGAAAGCCAACCCATAAAACCCTAGAAGGTGCTGGATCTTTTGTTGCCTCCCCAGGAAGAGTTAAATCACAGCTGGAAATGCAGACTGAGGCTAATGCAGGGGGAAAAAAAAAAAGGCAGGTTTGGCAAGATGCTCCAACCACACATTCCCCCCTCCCCACTTTTCCAGCGAGTTTCATATTTGCTGCTCCCCAAACTGAAGGAAATTCCAAAAGTTTATTTTAACACTGCTCTGTAAG